GTCTCTGAATCCTCCCAATCCTGCGAGGTTGGCATTTTTATCCCCACTTTTTGGTAAGAACAAAATAGAGGCCCCGAGAAGCCAAATGACTTGCCCAGGATCATGCAGCAAGTGGCAGAGCAGGATGTGTGCTCAGAGTGTGGCTCCTGGACCTGCCTACTCCAGGAAAGAAGGGGTTGCTGGTGAAGGTTCTGGGGTGAGGTGGGCAGGGCTCATGTCGGGGACAGCCCTGACCAATCCTCTGCGTGGCAGAGGCAGCTGGCGAGGAGGGCTGTGGAGGGCAGCAGTGGGGGCTGCGATGGGAAGAAGGGGGCTGCGGTTGGAAGAGGGTGACTGTGGAGGCAGACAGATTTATATGGGAGCCCCAGCTTTGCCACCTCCTAGCTGTGACGTTTTGCACAAGGCACGTTAAATCTTGACCTCAGTTCCTTCTTGGTAAAATGGGGATTACATTGCTCACTTCAAAGGAATTCCTGAAAGCTACATAATAATCATGACTTACCAAAGGTTCTGATCCGTAATAAGTGTACAATAAAAGTGAGACATGATCAGGGCTGGTATGGAGGCATCTCCATTAGCAGGTGACCAGACTCCTTCCGTCTCACTGCTCTGCTATCTGTGGCATGCTGCCTCATGGTCCAAAGTGGCTGCTAAGCACCAGCCCTTATGTCTGCATTCCAGCCAGCAGGAAGGAGATAAGGGTGAAAAAAGATGCCATTTCTTTGTGAATATGTCCCAGAAGTTCATATAGATCACAATAAGCCAGTCCACTTTACGGGCGGAGGTGGACTCCAAAAGGTCTGATGATTCTCAGAAGGTAATTTGTGCAGCAGGGGGAGCAGGATTCAAATGTAAGTGGGCTGCCATCCAAACAATAGCAGCCAACCGAAGGGCTCCCTGCACTCCAGCATCTATCCCAGCGCTTATACCTAGTCATTTAATCCTCGCAGCTAGTGAGGGAAGAGCTGGTTACCCCATTGTACAGAGGAGGTCACGGAGGCTCAGAGAGGGTAGGTGATGTGCTCAGGATTTCAGAGCCAGTACATGGAAAGGTTGGGACTCCAATCCGGGCAGTCTACTCCAGAATCCACACTTTGACCACCACGCTCCGCTGTCACTCAGCATTGTAAAGTCTCCCCATGGAATCCTGTCTGCAAATCTGGTTCAAGTTGAGATAAGAAATGAGGCAAGGGAGGGGCCGCTGGTGTCTAACAGTCCCATGTTCAAAAATAATAAAGTATAGCGTGGGCAACATGGTGAGACCACCGTCTCTACAAAAAGTAAAAATTAGCTGGTCGTCACAGTGTGTGCCTGTAGTCCTAGCTACTTGGGAGGCTGAAGTGAGAGGATCGCTTGACCCTGGGAGGTTGAGGCTGCAGTGAGCCAAGATCACACCACTGCACTCCAGCCTGGGTAACAGAGTGAGACCCTCAAAAATATATGTAATAATAGTATTAAAGTACTTCTTTTGCAATGTATTCATCACCTTGGGCTGCCATAACAATATGTCGTAGATGGAGTGGCTTAAACAACAGAAATTTCCCCCAGTTCTAGAGGCTGGAAGTCCGAGATCAAGGTGCCAGCAGGGTCCAGTTCTGGTGATGAATTCTCCCTCGCTTGCTGGCTGATTCACTGTGTCCTCACGAGGTGGAGAGAGAGAAAGATTTCTCTGCCTTCTTCTTAGAAGGTGATAGTCCTATTGGATTAGGGCTCAACCCTCATGAACTCATTTATCCTTAAATACCTTCTAAAGACCCTATCTACAGATACAGTCATAGTGGGGGTTAGAGCTTAAACATCTGAATTTGTGGGGGCTGAGTGGAGGATGCAGTTCAGTCCACAGCACAGGGTTAGTTTATTTCAGGAATAAATGAACTAGAATTTCAAAGTCAGGACCATAGATTCAAAAGGTGAGAACCCAGCCTTTAACAGCTTAACTTTTCGCATGGTGTCTAGAACGATGTAATCAACATTCCCACTGTTCAGATGGGGAGAGTGCTGAGTGCCCTTGACAAAGTCCTTGGAAACAGCCAGAACCTAGACTTTGCTAGAGCAGTTGTTTGTAAACCCACAGAGGCGATGGGCCGTTTCCTAACTGTGATTGTAATCATCTTCCGAGCTTGGGTCTGGCTCACAAACGATACACTGCATAAACTAAAATACTTTTCCCTTTGAGGCTCGCTCAGCAAGCTTGCAGAATCCGGTTGATTGGTTTGTACTTGAGTTTTTTCCCTTCCTGGTGGAGGCAGAGGGAAGTCATGTGTCGAGTTCTGCCATGTGCCAGGCCCTTCACAAACATTAGCTCCCCGCCCCCACCACTGCTCCTTGTTACTCCCCAGTTAGCAGCTTCGGGGTAAAGGGACTCTCAGGGTCACACAGTGTCAGAGCTAGGAGTGAGCCCAGAGCTGTCATTCAAGCCCCTGTTTGCTTTTGCTGTGCTCTGCTGACCCCCAAAGGAGCTTCTCTTAGTAAAACAAAATTCTGTTTAAAAAAGCTAAATATCCAAAATTCATCATCTGTTGCAATCTCAGTGTATTAGGTTGGTGCAAAAGTAACTGCAGTTTTGAAAGTAATTGAAATTGCCATTGAAAGTAACGGCTAAAACTGAAAACACTTTTGCACCAACCTAATAAAATGGCTGTGCTGGTGAAAACTCCTGTTGGAATGGATTTTTCCCCTTGGAATCTTGCCAATCAATTAATTTGCGGCTCTGCTATTGGCCTCACTTTCTAAAACTTGAACCTGGGAGGTTGAGGCTGCAGTGAGCCAATATTACACCACTGCACTCCAACCTGGGTAACAGAGGGAGACCATACCTCAAAAAAATAGGTTTTTCAGCCTTCCCTTGTTGGGTTATGCTCTCTTCCTCCGTTTCCTCTGTAGTTGACACACTCCCGTGTGTGGGCAATGTTCTCCACGTAGTAACACCCTGTACTAATGATGAGCGTGCTGTCTACGTGACTCTATTTAGGGCAAGGCAATTCGGTGTAAATCCTGCATGAGGAATTCAACAAGAACGGAAAGCTTCAGAGAAAAACATCCTGCGCCTTCCCCTTTGTCTCAGTCACTATGGTTTCTGGGCAAATTAAGTAAACACTCAAGAAGCTTTTCTTTTTTTTTTAATAGAGCTGAAGCAAAGAGCCTCAGATGGCCACAAAATGATGAACACATTTATTTTGATTTTTTACTTATAATACTTGCATATAGAGAATTACAATAAATATAATATTCCCTCCAATTAAACAACAACCAAAAACCTTCTCCGTGCCAGAGCAGGGCAGCTGGCCAGGAGAAAAGGAGAAGATGGCCCCTGTGCTCCAGGGCAGAAGATACCTGGCCCACATCCCCCTGACCCCAGAGAGTTGTGGGCCTCTGTCAGGAGGTACTGTCTCTAACAAGAGCCGTGGGTGTGCTCTGGGCTTTCTGTTTGCCACTGCTGCTCAGTGATCAAGCCACGTCATCTTTCTGAGTGTCTTCTTGTGACATGCAATGATGATATTCGCTTCAACTGGGAAAGGCAACCCTCAGATTCAGGGATATGTGTGTATTTGAGAGCCCTGGTGAACTCAAGCTGTAGAAATGGTGGTCTTTCGCAGAATCCGTTAGATGAGATTAGAGCCAACCCAGGGCCTTGGGAGCTCTCCGGGGTGCTGAAAGGATTGTCCTCAGACTCCGAGGATCAGCATAGTCTGTGCATAGGAGTGAGCCAGTGAGAATGTCATTCATTGAGCACCTACTGTGTGCCTGGCGCCTGGCTTCCTCCACAGCATTATCTCATTATCACACATGGTTGCTACCGGACTGTTTGCCTCTGCCTGGCCTCTGCTCGGCCCTCCTGCTCCTGAAGCCCCCGGTGCCAGCCGCTGCCCCAACCTGTGTGTGGCCTGACCGCCTCTGTCCTTTGGTCTCTAGCACAGCTGGCCTGCCTGTGGCAGTGCCACCCAGCCAGCCTCCTGGGCCACCGACTTGCTTTGTATCTCCTGGCCTTGGAAAGGCTGACGTGGGCATGTTTGTGAGGGAGCTTGGAAAATTGGAAGCTGAGGTTCTTAAGGTCACGTTTTGATTATTCTCTACCATGTTTGTCATGTGTGTTTGGTTCAGGAAAATTTGAAACTGAGCCCTGAGGACGGGGGTATTCAGGCTATCATCCTATAACCCCATTACCCTGTGCTGGACTGTTACAATTATTTCTATAAAATCAGCGTGTCCGTGGCACTGTGAGCCACTTGAGGGCGGAGCCTGTGCCTTATCCAGCCCTGTAGCTTCTGAGCCTGGCACAGGCTCCTGATGACAGTGAGGGCTCAGTCACTGTTTATGAACGCAGAAATGAAATGATGGAAGAGTGAGCCCACAACTTGGATTTCTGTCCTGAGAGCTGGCGTCTGTGGGAGAGGGTTCTGTATACACTCATGCCCGCCTGCACTCACTGAGCACTTGCTGGGCTTCTGGCTCTGCTCTCAAAACTGCACGAATATCAACGTTTCCAGTCCTCACTGCAACCCACGAGATAGGGACTATGATCCTCATTTTACAAATGGGGAAACTGAGGCAAAGAGCTATGCATAACTTGTCAAATACCACATAGCAGGTCAGTTGCAGGGCTGAGATGAGAACCCCAGTGGAGTTGCCAGCACAGCTGTCAACCCTCTGCACCACCAGTCCCGGTGCCAAGGCTTTGTCCTATCCCCCGTGGACCTAGTAACTAAAACTTTGGGTGACTTTCTTGATTGTGCCCAGTGACCATCACATAGCTTGGATGGGAGGGAAGGTCCTGGCTCCCACACTGCTGGGCGATGCTGCGGGGATCACTGCATCTCTCCATGCCTCAGTTTCCTCAACTTCAGGGGGATGCCCACTCCTACCGTGGAACTGCGAGGATGTCAGAGGCCATCTGTGTGAAGCCCAGGGCCCTGTGGTGGCATGATTGTATGCTGTGATCTGAATATGGTCAGTCATTATTGATGGTCTTGAGGTTTTCCTGTGTGGTGCTTCTATTTCAGAAAAGGAAAGGGGGCAGGCCTAAAGGCAAGAAGAGAAACCGCCTGAGGGACCTTGCTGTTCCGTGCTCCTACGACAGGGTAAGATGCAGGAGATTACTCTGACCCAACGTGGAAGTAATCTGCAGGGCTCACCCTGTGGCCTGGGCCACGTGGCTGGGTTGGCATGATCCCATCTCAGCCTTTGTCTGTTCTTTTAGGGCCCTTGGTTAGTTAGGGAACCTGACACCACTGGGAGTGTGGGATGCGCTGCTTAGTTCTTTAAGCTGTAATGAGGTCCTGGTGCTGGAGGAGAGAGGATAGAAGAGCCAGGCTTGGGTTCCAGACAGGAAAAGGGATAGGTGTGGGCTTGGTGGGTCTGCTTTTCATCCCAGGCTTGAAGACATGGGTGCTCTGTGGCCTTGGGCAAGCTGGTTAACGTTCAGGAGGCTTAAGCCACCCTTCTCAGCACCTGGGACCTTGTCCCTTTCCCATGAATCTTGCACTGAAGAGGAAAGGTTCCATGCCAGAGGCTGACCAGAGCTCTGAGGGTCGCCTTGCCGCATCTGGAAGCTTGTACACTTTATCTTCAGGGTTCACACGGCTCTAATGCTGAGGGGCTTTCTTCAGTATTCCTGTGGCTCATATGGATGAAACTGGTTTGGCCACAGCCTTTCGCCTTCCCCATCAAAAGAAGTCCTTGATCAGGAAGGGGAGGGGTCTGCACCTGGAGTATTAGGCCACACCTGTGAGCAGGTGGCATTATGTTCATTATACAGAGGGGGAAACTGAGGCACAGGTGGGTTAAGTGCTTTGTCCACATAATGCAGCATGGCTATTTGAACATGTCCCCTGCCAGACACAGCCACCCAGCCTTCATATACCTCGTGTCCTATGGGGAGCCCCTCTTCTTGTTCCTAGGCCTTTTACCAGACTCTGGGTTAACAAAGCCATTGGAGGATGTTCCCCTCTTAGCCTCCAGTTTTCTGGTTAGACTGAACAAGATGGGCAAACCCATGACTCGTTATGAAAACAGGAAAGTGGAATGAGCCGCCCCCGGCCGCTCCCTTCCCCACCGGTTCCCATAGCCACGTACGTCCCTTCCCTGGCACAGGTACGTGATATTCCTGAACAAGCAGAGAAGTCGGCTGAGGGCCACACACCCCGATCTGCCTTTCACGGAAATCACAAAGGTGCTGGCTGCTCAGTGGGCTCAGCTGTCTGAGGACAAAAAGGGGTAAGTCCTGTTCTCTGTGGTGAATACAAAGCGAGTCCCTCCCTGAGATGGGGCCTGGGCAGCCCTCAGACACCACCAGGGGCCATTCCCTCCTAATCCATTTCTCCCACCGGAGCCAGAGGGAACCCTCTAGAGTGCAGACATGAGGTGCCACTCACCCACCCATTTAGAGCAATTCATGGTTCCTCTTGCTTTTGGCAGCATCTCTTAAACTGGGTCATGCAGAGTGGCCCATCAAGGAAACATGGGCCAGTTGTCAAATAAGTCTAGGATCTGTCACTAGTGCCCAGCCCAGGACCCTCTGCAGGGAAAAGTGCTGATGTTTGCATGAGGGATCATTGAAGAGAAGTCTAAGGCTCCCCAGGCGGGAGCTGATAATGCTGCCTTTCTCTGAAGTCATCGGACCAAACCTAGAGAATGGTATGGCCACAGCAAGGCAGATGCCAGTTGATGGGAAGGAAAACAGTGCCATTCAAACAATGAATGAACTTGCTTGGAGGTAGTGAGTTTCCTGTCCCTGGAGGTGTGCAAGCAGAAGCTGAGCAGTAGGTTCTTGGGATCATCCTAAAGAGCCCCAGGGAGGTTGGACAAGAGGGTGACCAGCCTCCATCCCCATCCCAACCCCAAATCTGGAGCACCTCAGAATCTCTGTGCTCCTTCCTCCAGAGGTATGTGTCCCCGGTGGACGAGGCCAAGCAGGGCTATATCTGAGAGCTGCAGGCCTTCCAGAGCCCTGAGGCCTACTGAGCCTTCCTGCAGAGGTGTGCAGCCCACAAGGCGCTACGTGGTGAGTGGGGACGCAGGGGTGGATGGGAGCTCCCCTCTCCCAAGCCGGGGTCTGGGATGTTTACACAACAGAAAGTGCGCTGGGAAAGCCCTTGGTGTTACTCCACCTCCTTCAGCGCTCACAGCAGTCACCCTGATTGAAGAGCCAAAGCAGTTGACATCCAGTCTCCCTTTTCAGCCCATCCTGAACTGGTTGAAGATCAAAGATAAGGGGCAGCTTGTTCCCTTCTACTTGGGAGGGTCAGTGGACGTTCAGGGTGGGCTGGGGCAGTGGTTACTTTGGAGTGTTTAGAAAAGGAAAAGGAATCACAGCGACAGGCCTGGCACTTCTCAAATTCCTGCATGCACACAGTCACTGAGGGTCTTGCTAGTAGGCAGGTTCTGCTCCAGCAGGCTCAGGGTGGGGCATGGGAGTCTGCATTTCTGACATGCCCATGGGCCATGGCTGCTGCTGCTCCAGGGCCCACACTGACGATGCTGCAGGTTGGTTCCTGCAGCACTCACCACTCCTACACGTCGCGGCACCCTCCCACAGCCCAGCATCTCTGCCATGGGCTTTTCTCAGATGGCCATGGGGCCAGATGTGCAGGGCAGAGCCAGCAAACTGAGCATCCATGTAAACCCATGCAGGCAGCTTTCCACCACCACCGCCATGCTGGCACAAATCCAAGGTGGGTTCCACACCCCAGAGAGTTCCCATGGGACTGAGCCCCATTCCTGTAATGGCCCTTCCCAGTCACCTGACTCACTCCCAGCCCTACCGGTGCTTCCTGAGGTCAATACCCAAACAAACCATTGACACCAGAATCGTCATCTGGGGGGCCCAGCTCTGCCCCCAGAGCCTGAGGCAGAGGAGGGAACCCTATTCATCATCTACTCACTATGCCTTCACCATGGAGGGCACCTTCCACTCATTTTTCTTTTTCATGCTTTTTGAAAATATTCTCAATGCAGAGCCCATCAGAGGCACGTTTATGTTGAGACCCACAGGGTGGCCACCAGCCACCAAGATTCCAGTCTCCTCTGAGGGGCACAGGCCCGCAGGACAGCATTGAGGTGTCCTTGTCAGTGGGGGTCCAGGTGCCAGTCTCTGGCCCCACCAGTGGCTGCTCCAGGGCAGAGGTAGGCCTCTCCCAGTGGTCCTGGGTCCACCCCCATTCACCCCGCATGTTCCTGCCTGCTGTCTCCATGGTGCGGGCCGGCTTGCGTCCCTAGGACATCACAGCAAGGCCTGCCTATCCTTCACATTGCCGCCTCTCTGGCTGAGCACCGGAGGAAGCGTGCATCAGGGGCTCTGCCATCCACGAGACTCCAAGACCAGCCACGTGTGTCCCATGCTCCCACCAGGACTGGCTGAGAGAACTGCCTTCCTAGTGACCAGGGTGTGGGCTCCAGAGTCCAAGTACCCAGGTTGGAATGCCAGCTCTACCACTTGGGGGCTCTCTGTGGCCCTGCACAAATTGCTGGAACACTCGCTGCCTCAGTTTTCTCATCTGAAAAATGGGGCTGTCACAGGCCCTTCTCAGGGCTCAGTGTGGATGAATGAGCTAACCCACAGAGAGGTTGGTACTCAGCGCCTGGTACATGGCAAGTGTGCAGTAGGTGTTCACACTTAGTGCTTCTCCCTGTGCGCTGAGCTTCCTCCAAAGGAGGGGTCAGCAAACTTTTTCTGGGAAAGGATAGATAGCAACTGTCATAGGCTCTGTGGGCCACATGGCCTCTGTCACAATCATTCAACTCTATGCTTGTAGCAGGAAAGCAGCCATAGAAAATATGTACACAAAGGGCTGTGTCTGTGTGCCAATAAAACTTTATTTGTAAAAACATACAGAGGGCTGAGTTGGTCCACAGGTAGCTACTCTGGCCCGTCATACTTACTGGGTTTCCACATAACCTTTGTTCTCAATCAAGTGCCTGTAGATAAAAATAATCAACTGAAAAATCTCTGGTCTGGCATAGAACTAGCAGATGTACCCATGCCTGGTGGCGTCTGTGATGGTTCCAGGGGAGCTGCAAGGCCTCTGGTCCTCATCATGAATGTCAGATCTCTTAGTACCAGAGCTAAGCAGAGGGTGCCTAAGAACAGCTGTCATTCCTGCTCCTGGTTTTCTCCCAAAATGCCATTTGTCCGAGCTTAGCAGAGAACAGCTCATCTTGCTGAATTCTTCATTCATGCTGAGGCCCTGCGGCCTTCTCCTCATTTGGGGGATTGTTTATAAATTGTCATCATGCAAAAAACTTGGTGTGTTACCAAGAACGGTCACTCCAACACAGCTTGGTCTTTAAACAAATAAAATAAGTCACTGCCTTATTTAAAACATAGTAATTTTAAGAGTTAGCCATATAAAATGTATTAGTAGTCAATATGCATTTTTTTTTTTTTTTTTTTTTTTTTGAGACGGAGTCTCGCTCTGTCGCCCAGGCTGGAGCGCAGTGGCCGGATCTCAGCTCACTGCAAGCTCCGCCTCCCGGGTTTACGCCATTCTCCTGCCTCAGCCTCCCGAGTAGCTGGGACTACAGGCGCCCGCCACCTCGCCTGGCTAGTTTTTTTTTGTATATTTTTTAGTAGAGACGGGGTTTCACTGGGTTAGCCAGGATGGTCTCGATCTCCTGACTTCGTGATCCGCCCGTCTCGGCCTCCCAAAGTCAATATGCATTTTTAAAATATCACCTAGAATCTGCCATGCTAAGAAATGAAGTTTTCATTTTTGCTCGTTTCTCTCTCATCTTCATTCCGTACCTAGCCAGGTGCTTATACATTGACATCAGAGGTACCTGGTGTTTCCTCTTGGCTCACTGGGGTTTTCAGGCCTCAGATTAAATTGAACAGCATTGATCCTCCTCCTCCGGCAGGTAACACGAAGACCCCTCAAATGATGTTTGCAATCAAAGAAGGTGCCTCTGACCCTCTGATTGGTGTCCCCCAAATAGGGCTGAGTCCTTTTCTGAGACAAATTCTTTTTTAAAGGATGTCTTTTGTTTCCCATCGAAACAGGGACCCCAGGAAGTGAATTTGAGAGTGAGGGCCTTGACTTCTCAGAAATTGATGTCAGTGTTTTGGGAGGGAAGATGCATCACCCTCATTTGGTGTGGGAGGCTGAAAAACAGTCTCTCCCGGAAGACATCCATGTCCTAATGCCTGGCCCCTGTGAATGTCACCTTCTGTGATGGAAAAAAGGTGGGAGGGTTGGAGGATGTGGTGAAGGATCTTGGTGGTGGCAGGGTGGGGGGAAATTATGCAGCCACCAGTGTCCCGACAAGAGGAACGCAGAGGGAGATGTGACCCAGGAGAACAGAAGTTCTTGTGATCGCAGAGGCAGCCTGGAGCGATGTGGTCACCAGGAGTGGCTGGAAGAGGTGAGGAACTGGCTTTCCCCTGAAGCCTCCAGGAGAACTGTGCACTGCCCACACCATCATGTTGGCCCAGTCAGACTGATTTTAAACTTCTGGCCTCCAATACTAGGAGAGAATAAGTGTCTGTTGTTTTTTGGGGGGGGGTTTTGTTTTGTTTTTTGGTTTTTTTTTTTTTTTTGGTTTTTTTTTTCTCGCTCTGTCACCCAGGCTAGAGTGCTGCGGTGCGATCTCAGCTCACTGCAAGCTCTGCCTCCCAGGTTCACGCCATTCTCCTGCCTCAGCCTCCTGAGTAGCTGGAACTACAGGCACCCGCCACCACACCTGGCTAATTTTTTGTATTTTTAGTAGAGATGGGGTTTCACCATGTTAGCCAGGATGGTCTCGATCTCCTGATCTCGTGATCCACCCGCCTGGGCCTCCCAAAGTGCTGGGATTATAGGCTTGAGCCACCGCGCCCAGCCCAGTGTCTGTTATTTTAAGCCACCAGTTGATGGCAGTTGGTTACAGCAGCCCTAGGAGACACACATTTGAACACAGGAGACTGTGGATCAATGAAGTGAGGCCCACACATCCATCTCTTACTCCGTGGCAGCGTGTCCACACGGAAAGGAGTCTGAGGCTGGCTGGGTGAGGCCAGGAAGACTCACAGGGCAGCGATTCTGAGATGACCTCTAATGGAGAATAAATGAGAAATTCCCAGAGGAAGCCCTGGACGGGGTGGATGCAGAGGCACGTGATGCAGACAGGGTGTTCCGGGCAGAGGAAACAGGATGTGCAAAGGCCTGGAGATGGGCAGCAGCATTGCAGGTTTGGGGAGTCATGAGCAGCTCAGGATGCCTGGACCAGGCTCTGTGCCTGGCTTGTGGGCACGAGGATGGGGCTGGGTGGGGAAAGGACTCCTCCGATGTGGGAACAAGCTGGATGGAAGCTGGAGGTGTTTCCCCTTTGAGTTTTAATTGACAGTGAAATATACGTTTAATTAACAAATGAAGAATAACTGAAAATGAGTTTTAAGGGGCAGATCCATGTGTTTACAATGGCATTTTCTGGAAGGCTACACAAGAAACTATGCAGTGAGTAGAAATGGGGTGTTGGGTCTCTTGCGCTTTTGACTTTATACCCCCTCCTTTTTTAAAATTTCAGCATGCACTTATAATCACTCTGTAAGTGGCTTTGCATACAATACCTTGTATCAGCAGGTCATGACTTAAGGACTTAAAGGGCAAAAGACTTCCTGAGTGCATCATCTGCCTGAAAGGTCAGTCCTCGGTGGACCAGGCTGGGTTGCTGTGGCAGGAGCCACTTAAGTGGGGTTCCAGCCTGCAGCCACTCCCGATGGTTACTCTCCCAGCAACCCAGCCACCCTCTCCTGGAGCCTGCCTTGGCTCCCCATGGCCTTTATGATAAGGCCTTCCACAACCTGGCTCCCATCTCCCTGTCCAATGTCATCCACCCACCACGTCCCCCAGGCCCCATGGAGTGCTGCCAGCAGTGAGCATGCAGTGAGTTCTAGAGCCTTACTTTCTTCCTTACCAACCCACAACCACCTCCACATCCCCAGGCATCCACTATGATCCGTTTGCAGCACACCCTCCAGAAACACTCCACAGACATGCAGGCACCTGCAGATTAGCGCATACATATTCTGCTAAAATGATGCGTTCTTGTTTCATCTTAGAGTTCATTTTGGTTTAAGATTTCAGAAAACCTCTGAAAATAAGCAAGACCTGGAGTTGGTTACATGCTCTCTCAAACAACACCGCCAACTGTCAAAACGCACCTCTATCTACCGAGGCCCTAGCACTTTCTCTCTCAGCCGATGACAGAGGTCTTGCGATGAATTGAAATTCTCATCTGTGCTCAGACAGGCATCACACCTAGCAAGGAAATTTACAGTGGGGAAAGGGAGTTGCTAGACCCAGCCCTGTCCACACAACGCCCATGTGTCTTTTTCAGCTGGTTTTACGTTCAGAGAAGGCTGGACCGCCTGAGCCTCCTCCCTGCTCACCTGAAACCCTTTCTGTCCTCAGAGAGATGAACACAATGGCCTGTACTGTGGGACCCGCAGGCAGCTCTTCAGCTCCCTGCGCAACAAGAAGCAACCTGCTGCAGAGGCAGCACCTGCAGCGCCTCACAGGTAACCAGCCTGGGCCAGGCTGCTCAGCCACAAACACTGGCCTTGACTCCACCTGCACCAAAGGTCACCAACGGGCAGCCCACGTGACGCCTCTTGTTATTAAAATGCAATTTTAAGACAGACTCTAGCCAAGCCCACTTATCACCAGGTGGGTGTTTAGGACAGGATAGGTCTTCCACTGTATCTGTTTTCCTCTTAGTTCACCAGGCTCACCTGCTCTGGGCCCCCCAGGACACAGACCTCAGCTTCTCCTGGAGCCCTTGCTCACTTTATTCCAACTCTACGAGCTCCTTAACTATCCCAGAGGACCCCAGGCCCATAGCCACCTCGGGTCCGGATGCCGCATTCTCTGACATGTGGCACATTCTGGGTGCCCATGATTATGATCAGGTTCTGTGCCCATGTGGCCTCAGGGCTCTTGTGACCACCCTTCATCCAGGTCTTTGCTCACCTGTCTCCTGCCCAAGGATGCCACCCGGGTCACTGTGCAGACCTCCAGCCCCTGCCCATTTCTCTTCATGATTGCATCACCGCCTCGCAGCCTCTTCCACTTGCTCATTCCTGGTGTTATTGCCTATCTCCCACTGGAAGAGAAGGCCCTCAAGTTCAGCTATTGCTTTGTCTGTGATGTTCACTGTGGTGAACCCCAGGCCTAGAACCACGCCTGGTACTCCCGGTAAGTGCTCCATAAGTATCCAATGAGTGGACGAATGAATGAATGTGTTCAACAAATGACCCTGGAGCATGTATTCCTTCCAGGGACAGAGCGAGGTGCTAGGGACACAGGAAGGATGAGGCAGAGCTCCGTGCTAATGAAACTAAGGGCCAAGCATGTGGATGAATATGCACATCCTGGCATTAAAACATCTTGCATTCTAGTGAAATGAGACCCATTGGACACAGAGAGGCCCCACTACAACTGCATCTGTGTAAAATCAAGAGAACGATCATGAAAACAGCCGTGGCAGGTGCTGGACTAAGGGGTGACATTGGGTTTTCTCTTCCCACCTATCCTTTAGGGTTGTTAAAATAGAACTAGGTTTCACGTAGGCCCCTGCTGTGCAGTCTGCTTGCTGAGTCATGCAGGGCCAGCTATGCAGCCACCCTGTGCTTCCCCGGCCTCGTCTGTAAAATAAGGATGACACCGCCTGCCCGGCAGTGCTCTCCCGTGAATACACAGTACCTCATGCAGGGCCCAGTGCAGCTGAGAGGTCACCTCCTCCAGGAAGACTGTCCTGACCTCGACTTGGGGTTGGGCCTCCCCAGGGCTCCTAAGGCTTCCACACATATCTTTCATTTTGCAATGATCATCCCGTGTTACTGTCCCACAATACACATTACACACAACACCATACAAACACATGCACTCTACACACACACAACATACACATGCGCTACATATAACACACACTATACACAGTACATACACAACACATACCCCACCCGTCACACTCATATACACACATACACTACCCACATACACTCCACACACGTGTAGTACACACTACATGCGACACACTCATACCACACACATGCACACACGGGTCTGAAGGGCAGTGCTGTGTGGGGATCCGGGCACATCCCTGATCCATCGCAGATACTGAATATTTGCTGAAGGAATATCCGGGAGGCTCGTGCTACGTCTGGTGTTTGAAAGGAAATGAACTGTTCTTGGTAATGTCTTGTTTAGGGTGAATAATGGCACTGAAGACAGAAAATGCGTCTTATCACCTGCTCTGGAGCAAAACATGTGTGCTTGGATGGGTAGAGTTATTCTGTGTAAATTACCCACCAGAGAGAATTCAGGCCTATTTCAAAATCTATAAAACCACGTGCTGGGGAACCATGAAAAGTTGTAGATGCATGTGGCCGTGAACCAGTGTAACTCTCTGGGGGCCTTTGTGATTATTTAAAAGGAAACAGACATGGGCAAACCTTGTTTCATCTCCCTTCTAAATCACCTACAATTGTACAGTAGCAGTCGGGCTCCTGAGAGCTTTCCCACTTCCGCTTTTCTTGGTGAATCTTGCTGGAAATCAGTGCTTCCGGCAGCTGCAGTCTCCGAGGCTGGGCCCTGATTGGGGAGGGGGTTGTTAACCTTGCATTCTTTAGGGTTCAGGTCTCAAATGACTCTTGCAGCCCTGGGATCTGAGGAGCGAGACCAGGCCTCGGCTATCTCCACCCCGAAAGAACCTTCCCTGCTCTTCCACATCCAGCCCAGGCCTCGGCTTCCTCGTCTGCAAAACGAGGGTGCTGAGAAGATGGGGGCAGGGGTCCAGCGTTTTCTTCAGCACAGCTGCTGAGCTGTAATTCCCGTGCCATAGTGCCCACTGGCTGAAAGTCTATACAGTTCAGTGGTTTCTAGTACATTTTCAGACATGCGCAGCCATCACTGCGGTGGACTTTACAACATCTCTGTCACCCCAAAGAGCAACCCCTTTTCCACTGGTGTCACTCCCCCTGCTCCGCATCCCCAGTCCAGCAGCCTAGGACAAGCTTTCTGCCTCTGCAGGAGTTCCCCAAGTTTCAGGACTTGATGTCTCCTTTCTGTGGGGAGTCCAGCAGGCATCTCCACCTAGGGACAGTTTAGTGGACAGTGCTGTGTCACCATCAAGGGCCTGAATCCCTGCTCTGTCTCCTACTACCTCTTTTACCTTGGGCAAATTCTTCACCCATTGCTTTGGTTTCCTCAGGTGAAAACAGGATCATCGTGCTAACCTCAAGGGCTGCTGTAGGATTCGATGTTCCTCATGTCACAGTCTCTAACCGTGTGGCACATTCTGGGTGCCCATGGTTACGATGATGGGTGTGTGGGCTGGAAGGATCAGTGATTTTCTGCCTCCATCCCCTCTTAGAAATGGAAGGCTGCTAAGGAACCCCACAGGCACCTGCTGTGTGATTCTGTATGGCTCCCTGCACGCTGCCCTTCTCCTGCTGTGGCTTTTCACCTTTGTGTGCCAGTCTGGCACCTGTTCATACTTCAAAACCCCATCAAAAAGACAATAACAGGTGCTGGTGAGCATCTAGAGAAACTGAAACCCTGCTGCTCTGGCAGAGTCAGAGGGCACACTGCATTGGAGAACAGTCTGACAGCTCCTCAAAAGGTTAAACATAGAGTTGCCGTGTGATCCAGCAATTCCGCTCCAGTGGCCAATCTGAGGTTTCATTCTAGGCTGTCTGTTTCCAAGAACTCTGTTCTTTACCGCTTTCTATGTGTATACCCAAAGAACTGCAAATGTATCATCAACCAAAAATATAAACATGAATGCTCATCACAGCACAGTTCATAATAGCCAAAAGGTGGAGACAAACCAAATGCCCATCAAGGGTTGAATGGATACACAAAACGTGGTCCATCCTTACCACAGCGCAACGTTGAGTCATACAGAGGAGTGAAGTGTGATATGTGCCATGATGTGGAGGAAACTTGAAAACAAAGTGAAAGAAACCAGACACAAAGGACCACACACTGTGTGATTCCATTCACACGAGATGTCCAGAGCAGGAGATCTACAGAGGCAGAAAGGAGATTGCTGGTTGTCTAGGGCTGGGTTTCGGGAGGATAAGGGAGTGACAGCCAAAGTCTGTGAGGTTCTTTTTGAAGGATGAAAATGTCCTAAAATTGCGGTGATGGTTGCATGTCTGTGAATCTACTAAAAACCACTGAATCACACTCCCTCCCTCCCTCCCTCCCTCCCTTCCTTCCTTCCTTTCTCTCTTTCTTTCTTGAGTCAAAGTCTCACTCTGTCGTCCAGGCTGGAGTTCAGTGGTACAGTCACAACTCACTGCAGCCTCAACCTCCCAGGTTCAGGTGATCCTCCCTCCTCAGCCTCCCGAGTAGCTGGGACTACTGGCGTTTCCCACCATGCCTGGCTAATTTTTTTGTAGAGTTGGGTTTTACACCATGTTACCCAGCATGGTTTCGAACTCCTGGACTCAAGGGATCGGTCCACCTTGGCCGCCCAAAGTGCTGAGATTACAGGCGTGAGCCGCTGCACCCAACCATGATGTGTGAACTACATCTCAATAAAGCTGTTAGGCCAAAAAAAAAAAAAATCTCAGTCAAGGACCCTTCCCCCAGGAGGCTTCCTCTGCTGGCCTCTGCCCCTGCCTGGTCCTGACGTGTTCTGCTTGTCTGTCTCTCTGTCCATCAGATGGGGGAGCCTGAGGCGGGGACTGATTCGCGCACATCTGGACAGAGAGCCAGGCCTGGAAGTGCTGCTCATTCTATGCTCATGGGCCGACCTCTGTGACAGGCTTTCTTTGCTTTTCAGGGGAATTCAAAAAAGATTCTGCCGCATACTCAAAGCACCCAGAGCCTCTGGAAGAAGAGAAAGGACGAGATTCAAATGAGGCTGAGTCAGAGGAGGAAGCTGAGGGCCCCGAATCCCTTCCGCTCAGAAGTCTTCATCCAGAGAGGAGTTTTGCTTCACTCGACTTGTGTTTCTCGCAAGGGTTTGTCTATAGATTGCTGAAAAGTGAGTAATCAAGTTCAGCAACTCCCTGGCAACTGTGATGACCTAGGGTTTATAATCCTAGTCAGAGTAACCTACAGAGAGGTTATAATATGAGGTGGAACAAAACAGAAAAGTCGCTAGAGGAATAACGATAGTAAAAATTATAATCAGATGAAGAATAAAGTTTTCAATGAGGTACAGTTCTAAGCACTTCATACAAATAACCTGTCTTAATTCTCATAAAAGTACTGCGAGGCAGATACTAATATCATCTCCTTCTAAAGATAAAATGCAGCACAGAGAGGTTAAGTAACTTGTCCAAGGTTGAACAGCGAGTGAGTGGCCAATCTGAGATTTAAATCCAGGCTGTCTGGGTCCAAGAACTCTGTTCTTCACTACTTCTCAACAATGTCAACTATGTAAAATGACACACACACATAAACCCACATCAGTGGTAATGGTGGTTATCCCTGGCCGGCAAGATGAAAGAAGATGTTACGTAATTCTTCAGTCCTTTCTGTGTCTGCCACATTTTCCCCAATGGATAGATGTCAATTAAACTATCAGAGGAAGAAACAAACTCTATTAAAAATGATTTCAAGGGCTGGGCAAGGTGGGTTACACCTGTAATCCTAGCATTTTGGGAAGCCGAGGTTGACGGATCACCTGAGGTCAGGAGTTCCAGACCAGCCTGGCCAATATGGTGAAACCCCATCTCTACTAAGGATACTAAAATTGGCCAGGCATGGTGGCATGCACCTGTAAAAAAATCTCAAGAATGAACTGTTTATACAGGGCTACCAGCCATCACCTGCATAAGGAGGTAGGTACTAGTAGCATCTCCATCTTCTTCTTTTTTGTTTTTTTTTTTTTTTTGAGATGGAGTCTTGCTGTGTCACCCAGACTAGAGTGCAGTGGCACGATCTCGGCTCACTGCAACCTCTGCCTCCCAGGTTCAAGCGATTCTCCTGCCTCAGCCTCCTGAGTAGCTGGGATTACAGGCGTGCCACCACACCTGGCTAATTTTTGTATTTTTAGTAGAAATGGGGTTTCACCATATTGGTTAGGCTGGTCTCGAACTCCTGACCTCGTGATTCACCTGCCTCAGCCTCCCAAAGTGTTGGGATTACAGGAACATCTCCTTTTAAAACTGAAGACATTGTAGCACAGAGAGGTTAAGTAACTTGTCCAAAGTTGCACAGCTAAGGAAGGGGAGGTTTTGGATTGAGAAGAACAGACAATGATGGTCTTCTCTTCCCTTTCCTCTCAGTCAAGGAATTGGAGCTCAGGGAGCTGAGGAGGACTGTAGAAAGAGCTGGAGCAGACGAGGAGGCCCTGCAGAGGCAGCTGGTGGAGTTCCAGGTGATGGCCCCATGTGCGTGCCGGAGGCTTGGGGCGGGAAGCGCCCACGTGGCTCAGCTGGTGGGGGGGCCCACCTGGAGGTGCTTAGGAAGCAAAGAGTAGATACCACTTGGTCCACTTAAAATGGTACTCTACAAACCCTGCATGCTAGGATGTGTTTGCTATGTACCCTTATAAAATACACAGTGTTTGGTCCCTTGGTGTTCCTGGTGCGTGGGAATCTGTGCCATGAGCCTGCTCGTGTTGCTTGCTTGTTTCACTCAATACTCTATTTCATCCATGCTGTCACGTGGCCTCTGGCCTCTTCTGTCAGATCTGCCTTGTGAGCCCATTCCCTTCCTGGCAGGTCCCAGTTTGCCCCAGCTCCCCACACCCGTAGCTAGGGATGTGATGAACATCCTTACACATGCCCTTTTATGGAGCTGTGGAGTGGGCTCTCTGGGAAGAGGGGTTACCTGGTCATAGGCAGGTGTGTGGTGTGCACTCTTCAATGGCAAATTTTGTAAGTTTAAGCAGTCATGGTGGTTCCCGGTAATGAGAACAAAGGGAATAAAATGAGGAGAAACCATGCGTATTGTCACATTTTAAACATTTGTTGTTTTGGCTAGATGTGGTGGCTCCTGCCTGTAATCCTAGCAATTTGGGAGGCTGAGGCGGACAGATCACCTGAGGTCAGGAGTTCAAGACCAGCCTGGCCAACATGGCAAAACCCTGTCTCTACTAAAAATACAAAAAAATTAGCTGGGCATAGTGGCACATGCCTATAATCCCAGCTACTTGGGAGGCTGAGGCAGGAGAATCGCTTGAACCTGGGAGGTGGAGGTTGCAGCGAGCCAAGATCACACCACTGCACTTAAGCCTGGGTGACATAGCAAGGTTTCATCTCAAAAAATAATAATAAAATAAAATAAAGTAAAATAAAATTGTTGTGTTATTCTGCTTATAAAATTAACATATTCATTGAGGCTGGGCGTGGTGGCTCATACCTGTAATCACAGCCCTTTGGGAGAACACAGCGGGTAGATCACTTGAGGCCAGGAGTTCGAGACCAGCCTGGCCAACATGGTGAAACCCCCGTCTCCACTAAAAATATAAAAATTAGCTGGGTGTGGTGGCGGACGCCTGTAACCCCAGCTACTCAGGAGGCTGAGGCACGAGAATTGCTTGAACCCAAGAGGTGGATGTTGCAGTGAGCTGAGATTGTACCACTGCACCCCAACCTGGGTGACAGAGTAAGACTCTGCCTCAAAATAAATAAAATAAACATATTCACTGAAGAAAATTTTGAAAATTTCAGAAAAGTATATGAAGAAAATATAAACCCTATTGTTAACATTTCAGTGCAGTGTTTCCAGTCTTGTTTCTATAAATATCTGAATCTATCCGCCTACTTCTCTCCCTACCTAAATATATCTGCATGGTATTTGTATATCTGCATATTTATCTTATATTTCTCTAAATAAATATATCTAACTATATCTCTATATAGACATAGAGATAGAAAAATGGAGAGAGAGAGAGATAGGGAGATGGACGTAAAGGTAAAATCCATCCTGCAGCTTCCATTTGCAGAAGAGCGTGAGCATTTTCACGTCTCCTTTGACGTTATTTTAGCAGGAAAACCTGTGTGTGCAAAGGGAAGGAGGTTGGAAACGCAGAGGGAGGGAGGGAGAAGAGCAGTAAATGATGCATCCTTGTGCAGAACAGGAGGATATACGCTTTTCTTTAAAGAAAAAATCATGAATGCCATTTCATCCTAAAATATTCAGACATGATCCTTCGGACAGTCAGAAACTGCAGCCATTTCCCTTCCTCTCCCTGGACGTTTTCACTGTTAACATCTTCATGCGCATCTTTCCTTCTAAGCATTTTTCTATTTATGGATGAATGGGTTGATAGTCGGAGAGTTGAAAACCGGAACTTCTCAGGGCACCACCAGCAAGCAGGCTTTGTCCTTGGAGCAGGGTCCCTGGGGGTGATGTGCTGAGCCAGGTTTCAACACGTTAGATGGTGGATGGTCTGGGGGACATTTGCCAAACAGACCTGATGCGGCCTCACTAGTGCGTCACTGGCCAGCCGTCGGCACCGTACAAACACTAGCAGAAAGGCTCGTCTGTCAGCAGCATGATTCCTATTTCTTTTTTTTTTTCTTTTTTGAGACGGAGTCTCGCTCTGTCGCCCAGGCTGGAGTGCAGTGGCCGGATCTCAGCTCACTGCAAGCTCCGCCTCCCAGGTTTATGCCATTCTCCTGCCTCAGCCTCCCGAGTAGCTGGGACTACAGGCGCCTGCCACCTCGCCCGGCTAGTTTTTTTGTATTTTTTAGTAGAGACGGGGTTTCACCGTGTTAGCCAGGATGGTCTCGATCTCCTGACCTCGTGATCCGCCCGCCTCGGCCTCCCAAAGTGCTGGGATTACAGGCTTGAGCCACCGCGCCCGGCCACGATTCCTATTTCTTACCCAGAGGAGGGCACTGTTCATATTGTTCTTGGTGTGCTTCCTGTGCCTCACTTAGCACTCCTTCCCGTCTACACATAGTCCCCTTTGTTGTCACCTCTGTACGGTGTGATGCAGCCAACCCCAGCACCCTGTCCCTGTTGATGGACACTGCAGTGGGAATAGCCTAGGGTTACACCAGCACACAATGGTGCGGTGACTCCTAGAGCACACCACGGCTGAGCACAGGCTGGAGCACTCCTGCTCTCAAACAGTGAAGCTGAGGCCCAGGCCCCTGGCATGAGAGGGGTGGGTGGGCCCTGCTGTTGCAGAAGCTTAGAGAGACCCTTCCCTTCCACGCCCCTCCCATTCCCCTGACCTTGAGTGACAGCATTGGCCTTGGAGTGATTTCCATGTGAAATTTTACACATACCTCATGTAGGATTAGACGAAAGTGGTCAGGCTCAAGGGCTACTAAGGAAAAAGGAATAGGCAGACTTGGGTCTCATTGGATGCAGGGAGCAGGTAGGAGACGCGTTCTTTAGTGTTAATAAACCCACCAGCCCCTGTTCTTTCTTCCTTGACACTCAGATGCAATTCCTGCAGTCATGACATTGGCCGCTTTGGGAAGCAGTGAAGAATGCTGTGGGCTGTTGGGCAGTGGGGTGGGGGCTGGCTAACGTCAGATGCGCATTCACATGAGCATCCTCACAGGGAAGGTGTGATGGATGGTGCTGGAGCTGGCACCTGGGCAGTGTGATGAGAAAGGAACCTGGCTTTCAGAAAGCAAAGTTACAAATGCATCTAGCATCAAGTAATGTCCAGAAACCAGTTTTGCCAGGTTCAGCTCCTTCCTGGCTCCAGCCACTCTCTCTACTTCCTGCAGTTCCCACTCCAGTCCACTCACTCAGCTCATTCCTTCCAGAAGACATCTTCTGAGCACCTACTGTATGCCAAGCCCTGGGCTTGGTACTGGAAGTCCAGAAATTAGGGATGTTTTATGACTTCACAGGGCTTTGAGTCTCAGAAGCATGGCACAGGGGTAGTGAATCAGGGGTACCAGTGTGGTCAAGGCATCGGGGTGACCTTGAGTCATGTACAGCAGGGGTACCGGGGGTGCCAAGGTGGGGAGCAGGGCTTCAGCCTTCAAGACCCAGTCCCAGGGCAGAGCAAGCCTCCAAGTTCTTTCCCAGGCCCAGTAGGTCTCCAGGAGGGTTTAAGAGGAGAGTGAGTGAGTTAAGATCAAGTGAGTTTGGTGCTCCCCCAGCTTTGTCCTGGCAGTAACTCTTCCTCTCCCTTCCCAACTCTGCAGCATACAGCCATGTCCTGCCCCAGGACCAGCCTCCAGGACCCCTCCCAGGTGCTCAAGGGTGGCTTCCATAGCAGCAAAGGAAGGACGGAAAGTCCCAGGGCTTTGCAGATGGACAGTCAGACAACTTTGCTGACCAAGGAGAAAATAAATTGTGTGTGTGTGGGTGTGTTCATGAGTGTGCATGTGTGTGCATGCATGTGCATGTATGTGTGCATGTGAGTGTGTGAGCAACCAGCTCAGTCTGTGTCTGTGTCTGGGGCTCAGCAGAGCATCTGCACTGTAAATATTGCTACTGTGGACTATAATCTGGGTAGCTTTGATTTGGGAAGATTTTGGTAATGTGGCTCCATCTTTCCACACCTGACATCCCTCAGAGGGACATGTACACACCTACTCTGACCATGTGCACAGGTACCAAGCAGCTGTGGGGACAGACCACTTCTGGTTTTGGCCTCTGGAGTCCTTATTTAGAGCTCATTGCTACCTCCTGTGGGCCTTCGTGGTGACTTGGGGCACAGTTGATTTTCTCCATTGAATTAGGACAATAATCGCTACTTGTCAGCCTCAAAGAGTAGGGTGAAGATGGAGTAAGATAATCAACTTGTCCAGGTTTGGATCCCCAAGAAACCAACCCTGAGATAAGCATTTGCCTGCAAGTGGGTTATTTGGGAGGTAATCCCAGGTAGGGGATGTTATAAATACATTTTCATGGCCACAAAAGAAATAGCACTCAGACATAAATTTCATTTTCTCAGCAAGGCAATTTTACTTCTATAGAAGGGTGTGATTCATGGATGGAGCCATGGCAAAAGCACACCTGAAAAAGGGAGGGGAAGGGGTTTTTATTCCTGACACAAGTAGCCCCTACTGCTCTGTCATTCTCCTGTTGGCTAGGGTTGGACTGCACCGTCTAAACTAATTCCGATTGATCATTTCAAAGAGAGCAAGGACACGAGTTGGAGTGGCGGGGTGAGTTGTTTGGCGGGAAGGACAGTTACAGAACAGGTGACTCAAGGTGACTCAGGCCAGAGCAGGTGACCAGGGGTGACTCAGGACAGAGCAGGTGATAGAGGCTAGGAGAGGGTTGTTTACTGAAACTAGGGGCAAGGAGGCAAAGAGAACGAGGAAGTTAAACTTTAAAATGAAGAACGAAGAACGGGGGAGCTGAACATACGGATATATTGGTTCTTTGGAGAGTCTCAGAACTCAGTGTACTTAACAATTTACAGGCTAAAACTTTTTAAGAGGAATTTATTATATCATATAGGGAGTTACGGAAGAGAAACTGGAAAGGGAAGACAGCTTTGTGAATTAGGGGGTTATCCCAGCCACTGGAGCTGGGAAAGCCTGAAGCCAGCGCAGCCCCTGCATCTGAGAGTCAACACGTGATGGCGAGGTAGCCAGGGTGTCTGTGTAGCAGCTCCCTCCAGTCTGCAGGAGGACCGCTTCCAGGAGGACTTCCGGCCTGCTGTGCCGGTGGCAACGTGCGCACAGAAAGCCAGAAGAGCCCGTGGGCAGGGAGGGCGGTGCTGCCCCTGGGAGGCTGTGCCCTGGGCGCTTGGGTGTGGGGGTCGCCAACGCGCCTGGGAGCCGATCAAGGGCGCGCACCCCGCAGTGGGAGAGGGGGTTCCTGTGCAGCGCGGGAGGAGCTGCCAGGACGGAAGCTGTCTGGGGCAGAGCCCTGGCCACGGTGGTCTCGCAGCACAACGAAAGCACAGGGACTGCGCAGTCAGGAGGCGCTCGCTCTCGGTGCAGCCACCCGGGTGCGCGGCCGCAGTGCTTGCAGCCATCGCCCTGCGGGGCCTCGCGACTCGGGCATCGCCCTGCTCTCCAGGCAGGACTAGAGCTTCCAGAAAGTCCCAGGGCGCCCCTCGCGCATCCCAGGGGCCAGGGGGGCGCTGCAAGGCCTGCTGGGAGGTGTAGTTTTCGCTGAAGACGGGGGCTGCCCAGAGTCAAAGCAGGGTGGGCTCCGGAGCAAGAAGCCATTGTGGACACGGCATCTGCGGGAGGAAAGCAGCTCGTTCTGGCCCCGCGAAGGCCGCCTTGTCCAGGAGCCCCAGCGCCCTTCTCCTAACCAGGTGGATGACGGTTCCCAGCGCCTCGAAGGCCTGCTCTGTGCCTCGCGCCCTGCACAAACGATT